ATTATTATTATTATAATAATATTATACATACGTAATAGATAGCAAGTTGATCGAAGGCGGCTCGACTGCCCGTGACTTTCAAAGTTTTCCGTTCGCAATGGCAGCGCTTTAACAAGTAACAAAGTGCAATTATGTACACACGGTGGATGAACAAGGAAGTAGAGTTCACGGTAGATGACGGTGGTGGAACGCAGAAAAGTGCAAAGTCGCGGGAGTTTCCGAACAGAGAAACGGAATCAAATTGTGTGAATCGCATCGCTTGACCTATTTCTGCAACGTTGAGTCTCGTGATACGGAAACCGCGTCGAACAAACACGTTGTATCATATCGATAAAATAAAGGCTGTTATACAAGTTCGTTTGTTGTATACCCTTCAATCATTCTATAATTTATGAAAATATAAATGTTCATTTTATCTTAACTCTTTTTCTAACAACCATCTATTTAGATATCACACGTATTCTATCGTAATGCTTGTTTTATTTCAATTTTTATCACACAGTGGATCACAAAAACATCCAAACACCTTTTAAAACGGGATAACTTTTTTAATATTGGACCAAGTAATACAATTTTCTGTGGGATGGTAGAAGATTCAGTTTACCATGAAATGTGTAAGACAATTTATTAAATAATTTTATCGCAGTCTTTAATAAGAGACATCCTATTTGTATTTAAATTATTTTATTTAATTCATTGAGAAGCAACAAGAATCTTTATGACCAACTCGATTGAAAATGTTTGCATAAAAATTTTCAATTAGGGCAATATTCGTGATGGGGAGGTTACAATTTGCACGGATATCGTTGGTATGTATAATAGCAGATGCGTATTTGGACAAGGGTAGGGGACATAATAATTTCGGTCGACGGTCTGTGGAAAGAAGGGCGTGAAAAGTACAGTCAAGCAGGGCTTATGCCCGTTGAGCAAGGAACCCCCTAAGGGCTTTGCGCAACACGGGGTAACACAGTTGTCGATAGTTCATTGTCGCAATGTCCATTGAAATCTCCAACTGCGACAATGGCACGGAGCATAGACCGACGCATTGTGCATCCCGGAGACCCTCTTTCGAAAAGATTGCCTGTAATCTCGGATCTTGCGCGGCCTGTTTCTCCTTGTTTGTCGATAATCGAATACTCGAATCAGGGGACGTTCACTATCCGCTCATGAGCGTTAAGGCATTTTTCAGATTTTACGATTAAATCATTAAATAATGTGAGCAACAGTTAAACACGGATATAAAAATAGAAATTTATTCGTCCGATCATTTTCAACGAAAAAAGGAAACAACTGATCCTGTCGTTTATGAACGACAAAAACGAAATCATCATTTTATTAGAAATAAAGAAAAGGAAAAGAGTTATCAATAAAAAAAACAGTTTTTATGATTAGGTCATTAGGTAAGAATACTCTTAAAAATGTTAATAATTGATCACTTAGCGTTATGAGTCAGAGGCGGTGTGGTTGAATACTAATAAATGATAATGTACGCGTAATATAGATCTACATGGACGCGAAAAAGGAAAACACGGATGATATTATCGTGAGCGTTCTCTGAACGATGACGTACCTACGCGTAACAACTCGGCATCGAAAGATACCGGTGATCACGATGTAAAAAAGGGTACATAGTTGCTAACATAATTGAGCGTAATTGGTCACGTTTGATGACAGATGTAATCCCGGCGGATGGGGTGCGGAGGAGGGTGCGGGATGGGATGGGAATGGTCTATAATT